GAGAGAGAGAGAGAGAGAGAGAGAGAGAGAGAGAGAGAGAGAGAGAGAGAGAGAGAGAGAGAGAACGTGTGTGCATGTGTGTGTCGGTGTGTCGTTGTGATTTTTGCTATGCATGTGTGTGTGTGTGTGTGTGTGTGTGTGTGTGTGTGTGTGTGTGTGTGTGTGTGTGCGCGCGTGTATTGTCATGTTGGCTACACAACTCCACCAAAAAAGGTGTCAGACTGTTTCGTCAAATTTCACGGATTCATCAGAAGGTTGAACCCGGCAGTCTCTCCGCAGCATGCATTTGGCTGATGGACAAGGACTCATCACGTAGCCCAGAGTTAGTGATACCCCTAAGAAAAGCTGTCCGCTCTACTCAGACAAACCCTGCAATCGTAGTGGACTGTCGATCCAAACCCCTGACAAGAATGGCAGTAAGTCTGAGAAACTAGTCTGTCGCAGCTATAAAACCTATTCTCTTGTGCGTGTGTGCACATGTAGATAAACTACAGTGGTATGTACATAGATGGGCTTGTTTGCTAATCCCAGTGTCTTCAGACTGTTTTCAGCGGGTGGGCTCATTAGCAATGCAAAGAAAGAACAGAAGCAAGTAACCAGAAATAAAGGTAAATGATTTTAAATCTGCATTTCTCCTCAATTCCGGCTGACGTAACATGACATTGCATGTTGTTGTCCAGATGTGGCCTCCTCCACGTGCAGGAGGGGAGAGGTTCCCGCCGATTGCCAGATGTGTGGAGCAGACGGTTTGTTTCAGGGGGTGGGCTCATTAGCTTATGCAAAGAAAGAACGGAAGCAAGTAACCAGAAATAAAGGTACCTTCTTTTTATTATTTAAAATTTTAAATGATTTTAAATCTGCATTTCTCAATTCCGGCTGACGTAACATGACATCGCATGTTGGTGCCACACGTGTCGTCCACGTGCAGGAGGAGAGAGGTTCCCGATTGCCAGACGTGTGGAGCAGACGGTTTGTCAATTTCCAGTCTTTGGCGGATGGACTTCAGGCCTTACAGGTAAGACAATGATGTGTTAGAATTGCAGGATGTCTAGAAAAGGAAAGGAAGTCCATGTGGTATCGGGCCTTGCCGCGTTACTCTCCAATTGTGCAAAAGACAGAAAATTCGGTGGTGCATCTTTCCATGTGCTACGGTCTTCCCCCGAACATAACGCACCCTAAAAATGAATTTGGTGAGTGGTGCGGCGAGGCCTATCTTCTGGCTTGCACGAGAGGACTCTGCATTCCTTTGAGGCTAGATTCATTTCCTGGGTGTATCTGACCTTCATTTTGCACATTTGGTGTATCTGACCTTCATTTTGCACATTTGGTTTATCTGACCTTCATTTTGCACATTTGGTGCATCTGACCTTCAATCACCACTGCTCCAGATGTCTTAAAAATGCGCAACTTTGTGCGCCTGCTGTGAGGTGGGCCAGTAGGGTTGGCTGCTGGGGGTCAGCAACTTTTTGCAAAATGTTGAGTACGCTGGCTTTGGGGATTTTTCGTTCACAGAAGTGTTGATGAAAAATTTCTGAAGAAAATTAGGGACTTAGACTCAGTGCTGATCTTTACGAGAAAAACATAAAAAAATAAAACAGAAATTTCTGCATGGCAAAAAAAAAAAGAAACTGGGTGCGAAAACAACACGTTTTTTTCTCCTTGCTGCTACCGGTAGGCCCACATCTTTCGGTTTGGTGGACCAGGCTTTTAAAAAACTGGTGGTTTGTTAACATAGCGCCAGTGGCAGTGGTGGTTTGACTGAGGGCCTTAGGGTTGCTGGCCCCAGATGGAAGTCCCCTGCCCCAACAATCAGTGTGCACTGTCGATGGGCACAGATTGACGGCCAGATTCGAAAAAAGAAAAGCCCTGCCAAATGGCGCCAAGCGGACCCAAAAAGAAACGCACCGGCCACCTTTTGTTTTTTTTGGTTTGTTGGGAATCTGGCAGCAGCGCAATTTTTTTTTTTGAGGCAGCCTCGGTGCGAGAGGGCTCCGGGTGCCTGCTTGGGGGGGGTCGCCCGGCCGAGTGCCCCGGGCACCGGGTAGGAAAGCTAGGTGGCAACTGCTCCGGTACTTTGATGGTGTTTGGCTGTGACCTTGATCCTCCAGACCTTTGCAAGTGTATGGATTGGCTCCATTTGGTTAATTGGGGTCCCCGGTACAGGGTAGACTAACTGTTTTCTATTTTTGCTGCATCGGGTAGACTCACTGATTTCTGTTTTTGCTGCATTTTGGCTCGTTGTTTTGCTTCAATTTGCACTGCACGTTTGTTTTTGGCCGGTGAGGTCTTAGAACTCTTTCTGGTGGTGCTTTACGACCTTAGGAAACACGATTCATCTGCAGTGACCTCCACTTGCCCAGAGTCTGCATTCTGCAGTGTCTGTTCTCATCGTCGCTGTCTGATGTGCTTCTCTCATCTTCTAACTGTTCAGGGTCTAATTTGGGCTCTCTTTGACCTGGTGAGCATAGTTCCAATGGGCAACTGTTGGGTGAGGCTTCAACCCCTTGGCAGATTCTTCTCACAGATGGATGTGCAGGCGAGCTCCCACTGTGAAGTTGCCATCATCCAGAAAATATTGTCCTCAGGAGACGTCTGCCCGTTCTTCTTTTTTCTGCTCCTGGCACTCCTCCATCTTGTTCTTTTTCTTCTTCCTCCTCATCTTCTTCCTTTTCTCCTTCTTCTTCTTCTTCTTCTTCTTCTTCTTCTTCTTCTTCTTCTTCTTCTTCTTGTGCTGCGGCTGCTGTTCCTCCTCCTCCTCCTCCCTGTCTTCTTCTTCTTCTTCGTACTATTATCATTGTTTTTGTTGTTGTTGTTGTTTTTGCCCCTTCCACTGTTTTCTCCTTTCCCTCAGTAGATACATTACCTCATCAGTTTTGTGTTTAGGTGTACGAATTGGAAACACAGGATGGTACAGAAGATCAGAGCTGATGTGCGCACTCATCATCACCATGGGTGCCGCCGTCATCACAAAGCGCTGCAGGAAAGAAAGAAAAAACAGAAAAAGGGGGAGAAGAAGAGGAGGAAAGAGGATTTCTATGCGTGCAACAGGCAGGGCACTTTTTTTTTTTTCTTTTTTTTTTAAAAGTAAGCTGCATTTTTCTCTCAATTTCACCTCTCACTACCTACCTACCACTACTCCTGCAGGTTGGGAGCAGCCCCGCATGTTCTCTAGTGAACACGGTTCTGGCTGCTACGGGGTTCCCCATACGACTACAATTGGGACAAACTTTTTCCATCTGGTATTATAGTTTGTGTTGTTGATGCTGGATAATTGCATGTGATGTAGTCAGCAGCTGATTATGAATGGTCTTTCCGTTTCCTGATGCAGAGTCCGATCTTGCTGGAACCATTTTTCAGGAGGTGGGCCGAGGTGACAACAGCCATTGAGGTTTCGTGCAGTGGTTTGGACACTGTGCTTGCCAAGGAGGTTATCCGCAGTCGAAAAGTAGGTCCATTGACTCCAATACAATTGCCTACTTTGAAACTCCTCCTGAATTGACGATTGTGCTGATTGGTGATGTTCACATTGCAAGTTGTAACATGATTTGCTGTCTTCAGAGACAGCATCATCCATTCCATTTGCCATGCCCTAGCCTGTTTCCCTGCCTTCGTTATCTTATCCTATCCGGATTGGTTTGGAGCCAACACCCACAACTCTGTTTCAGAGTCTGGATATAGGGCTTGTGGCAGGCATGGATGAAACAAACACACTGGCAAAGAAGTTTTGACTGGTAAAAGGGCATGTTCGTATAGTTCGCCAATAAAGTGTATTTTAGTGCTTCTAGCATGATCTACATTTGCTTTGTTCATGTCTGGCACCTACCACCGAAACTGCACAGCTTCTGTAGTATCTTGCTGACACTTACGTTGATCGAAATGAACACAGTTGTCTTACTACAGCACTTTCAGAGATTGTGCTCACACAGAGAAGTTGAACCAAGGAGTGATGAACTGAACTAAATTTGATCCTTCTTCTTGCCGTCTCCCTCCTCGAGTTCTCACTGCAATAAATATCGCATCTACCATCATAACGGTGGTTGGCCGCACCTGGCTCACTGTGTGCCAAGCGTGGGCTTTTGGTCTTTTGATCTTGATGTGAGTGCCCACATTTGAAGTTTGGTCCTTCCCTACGGTCGTGTCCCGGCGCTACTTGTTCAACAAACTCTGCCATCACCCTCTTGTGGTAAAATGAGGTGTTTTCGTCCTTTGGTGAAGAGCTTTTTGGGTCATTCAATTCCTTTCCTGTTCTTATGTCGTTTTGCTAGCGTTGGATGTATTGGGACTTTCTTACAAAGAGATTTACCGGGAGAGAGACTGACCCCATCCATGGATCTTCGCCTGTACTCTGCGCACCTGGCCCAGCCGCTCAGAAATTTTACAGGTGCTTGGCAGCTTTACTGCTGCTTGCAAATTTTACTGCGGCTTAGTGAAGTTACCGTGGCAGATACTGGTCCTCGACACAGGGGAAATCGCAAATCGCGCTGTGTCATGTGAAATTTCTAACCCGATACGTCCTGGAAAGTATGAGAAGTCACTTGGGCACCCTCACAATCAGACTGTCCAGGATGTATCTGACCACGTCCATGGCCGGATTCAGTGGAAACGTTTGTTGGTGTGTCTGTGTCTGTGTTTGTGTGTGTCTGTGTGTGTGTGTGTGTGTGTGTGTGTGTGTGTGTGTGTTGTCATATTCGCTATACACTCAAAAAAAGCATGACTGTGCCAGACTATTTCGTTGGACTTTCACCGACTCATCAGGAGGCTGAACCGGAGGATTCATTTGACTGATGGATAAGGACCCACCACATCACCCAGAGGTGTGTGTGTGTGTGTGTGTGTGTGTGTGTGTGTGTGTGTGTGTGTGTGTGTGTGTGTGTGTGTG